CAGGTATCCTTCATATCTTCTTTCCACTAAATACTATACAAATGACATCACATGTTCTCAAAAATTTAAACTTAATCATTTTTTAAACATAAATATTATGTTAGATGTTTTTATAATAGTAGCAAGAGAATTCCACAAACCTATTCCAGTGGTGGACAGTAGTGGAGTACATTTACTTGAGTACTATAATTCAGTACATTTTTTGAGTATCTTTACTTTACTTGAGTAATTATTTTTTGGGGTATTGATGACTTTCACTCCATTACATTTCAAAGGCCAATATTGTGCTTTTTACTCCACTACATTTCTAGGAAGCTTTTAGTTACTTGTTACTTTTGGTTCAGCATAGCTTTGAAATCAGTTGTTGCTGTTTTTCTTTCTTGAAATGCAACTGGCCACACTACGTTCCTCATGGGGAACCAATCACAGTTGTAGATCACATCTAGGATAGATCTGGAATTACATCATCTTCATTAACAGTCACGAACTGAGCTCCCACCTACATTTCAAACAAATGGTAAATGGACTGAATTTATGGAGCGATTTATCAAGTCCCTCCACCCAAAGCACTTTACACTTACAGACACTCACCCATTCATACACACATTCACACATGGATGGTGGTAAGCTACATTGTAGCCACAGCTGCCCTGGGGCACACTGACAGAAGCAAGACTGCCATGCACCAGCACCACCGGACCCTCTGACCATCATCAGTAAGTAAGGTGGGTGAAGTGTCTTGCCCAAGGACACAACAACAGAACCCAGCAATGGAGACAATTGAATAGAGAAACCAACACACCCATGATCATATCTCAGCTCTATGTTTGAGATTTTAGGACTGAAAAATATTTCCTATCAGTTTAAACGTCTTATGAGTTCATTACAGATAAACTACATTTGTGCATTTAAGAACTCACCACCCAGCAAACGTCCACGGGCTATTGTTGCAAAATTTGAGCATTTTAAACAGAAGGAACAGGTTATTAGCTGTGGGAGGGAGCAACGTGGTACTAGCATCAGTGTTAACCATCAGTTCCCTAAAGTATACCTCGATCGCCATCGTGTTTTGTTTCCTATCAGGAAAAAGCATCTAGCTGAAGACTGCAGAGCAACGATATCAATAGATAAACTGTATATTAATGGCCAGTTGTTTAGAGACCCTGAGATCACTCCTTGGCTCTATTAGATCTAACGTCAAGGTTAGTGATTATTATTATTATTACTACATTAAATCACCAGTTATAATGTTAACTAAGCACAGTTGGTCGGTGGGTACACACTTGGTGAGCACGGTGGCTACTTTTTTGTGTTGGTGGTGGTGGGCGGGGGGTTCTTTTACTGTTCTTTTTCTGTTCTATCCTGTTCCTTTTGTTTTTTTTCATCCATTTACTATCACATTATTTTCTTTTATTTCTTTATTACTAACACAACAAATACTTGTACACAGGCGCACAAACCCACACATGCTCATATTCCATACATCCAAATACTCAATAATAAAACATATGCTGCATTTAACTTCAAATACATCACATGTATTTTTTTATATATCTTACATGCTACATAGGTACTATCACTCACTGTCAATGACTGTCTCTGAGTGTCCCTACTGTTATAACGGGCGTGGTTCAATTTTATTCTCACAAATACTGCGATGGGTTGTTTAAAGTTTGTCACATGGAATATAAACGGAGCCGGTACCCAACAGAAAAGATGTAGAATTTTTAACCAGCTTAAAAGATTAAAGGCAGATGTTGTATTACAAGAAATTCATA